GGCATAAAACAAAAGAGGTTGAGTTGGTGTTTAGAGATGTTGCCCCCGGACGTTGCCTAGACTTATTTGTTCTGACTAGGTCTAAACTTGTGAATACACTGCGTGTCTTCACCGCGATGCCGATAACCCGCGGTTGGAGTGGTTAGTCCTCCTCTGTGGTGCCTGTCCAACGGCAAGGCTTCCGGAGGGTTGTGTTTTCTGACACTTGGTGAGTTCCCTGGAACACCGGGGACACATATTCATGTATAAAAGACGTACAAAAGTGCATTTTGCATGATCGGTCACCTTTAATTCAAACTGTAATTTGTGCAACTTATGTTTAATATGTTGCTCTTTTTTAAGGATTCATCCTCTGGAGATAATGAATGTGTGCAAACACATTGCAATCCATCCTGTGGTTGAGATATTTCAGTCTAGACTAAAGTGACTGATAAACCTACATTTGCATTCATCAATCCACACCTATAGCATATATAAAAAGTGTAAGTAATAGCTCTGGTCTTTGGTCAGTGGTTGACTGGTGCTTGTATCTGATGTTATTAATGACAACCAACATTTTTAGAATCAGAATGCGGGTTTTCGTCCCACAGAGGGGAAGTTTACATTGTTACAGCTGTAACACAAATATCTATACTTTTACTTACATTTTTAATCTATGCTATAGGTGTGGATTTATGAATGGAAATGTAGGTCACTTTAGTCTAGACTGAAATATCTCAACCACAGGATGGATTGCAAAGTGTTTGCACACATTCATTATCTCCAGAGGATGAATCCCAAAGCCTTTTGGGATCTTCTGACTTTTCTTCTTGTGCCACTACGAAAGGTCTCATAAACTACAGGATGGGTTGCCATCATATTTGGCATTGACCATTATCTTGAATTAATTACCAGCTGTCCAAAAGACAAGAATGTTATTTAGAGGATGTAGCTAGTTTAATCAGTACTATGGACTGTTCCACTTGATATATTGAAAATACAATATGGCCTGTGAGTCATAAAGGACGCTCATATTGTGAAGGAATGCAACAGTTTAAGAGAAAGAAAATAAATCCCTCTGAGACTGCACAGTTTGCTCAAATGCTTGAAAATAAACCAAGTTAAAAAATCTGAAGATGAAACCATTGTTTAAACTTGTTAAGTGTTTCCGAGGGGCTTCAGCAGTTTGGAGGAATGTCTGGAATGTTTGCTCCATCTTTGTTTCGCATTGGTGTTTAGAGCTGGAATGTAAGGGTCTGAAGGAATTCAGTGGACATTACAGATGAAACATGACAGCAGCCACCTGTAGAAACCAGCTAACAGTTATAGTTTCTACATTAAAAAAAACCCTGTAATTTACTACTGTTATAAATGTCATGACATGTGCCAGAGGAATTCATATCCAACGTAAATCATATCACTGTACGAGTGAGCCAAGAGCCTGATATGAACCAGTTGAGCACAAAGGCAGAGACAGTGGTCTTTACCCTATGGGGTGGAAATCTAGCCAAATGTATTTTCGGAGACTTCTCACGTATCATCTTGGATTTCTCAGAAGATCAAAAAACAGAGAGATCTGATTAGTTATCCATCAAACTGTAATTGTAAATCAAGATTTTAAAGAGGCGCTAAAGACAGAAGCTTCTGACAGAGTTCAGGTTAGGACAGTGTGTGCGGGTGGTCCACAGTCTTATAGAAAGAGCCATTTGGTCAGAGTGAGGGTCACCGCCCTAGTTAGTATCATGTGTCCTGAAGACCCAATGATCAGGAAGTAATGTTAACCCTTGACCTCCAGGGCTTTATGAGAAAACAGCTACCTAATAACTCTGCCATTGTTCTTTTGAGCCAAGTTCTGCAGTTAGTTGCTGGCTGGGTGTGAGGTTTCACTGCGGAAGCCAAAAAATGAGCCAAACTCTGAGCTGCTCACTGGTATGCAAATGCTGATTTCAGTCATTTTTTTTTAACAGCCCGCTTATTTAACTCAAAAACCAACATCCAGGCATGTCTCCCAGAAATATTAAACGTTTGCCCTCAGCGTGGTTTCCTGAGATGGCGTCAGCCTGAGGGAATGTTCAAGGCTTCAGGCTCTCTAAACACTAAAGACTGCAGGAGGAGCCCCGACCGAGCCAGACTGTTTCTGCACTGACCCGGACCCCCCCTGACCGCAGTGGTTAGAGTGGGCAGAAACCACTCTTTCATAAAGAGATTCCTGCCGGCCATAGCATGACACGGTGTTTGCCGACAGTGTCTGGCAGAATTGGAAGGTAAGGAGACGTGATCACGCTGACGCCCACAAATTTGATGTTCTCATTTTGAAACCCATATTTAAAACACAAAATGGGAAAATTATTCATCATTGTATAAGAATAAGAAGCTACTTGAAACCCTAGACGAAAAAAGAACGAGAACTAATGTGTATGGCGCCATACTTATCTATGAAGGGCTGAACTGTGGTTCAATTGATATAGATCAGGAAGTAAAGTGGAAAATGTGAGTAATCTAAGTGACGGCAGGTTTCAAGACCAGAAAAAACCAAGAACATGACATGGGGTACGAGGTGATATATGAAGTGAGGCATGAGATGGGTCTGGCTAGTATTGTATTTGGCACAGAGAGAGACAGAGAGGAAGCTGGCCGTCTGAACGTGTGAGACTAAAGAAAAGAGGACAGACATCCACAGCTGGGATAAGTCCAGGCATTTCCCCCCTAAAACCCAGACCACCAGACATAAACTCAGCATAATTCTGTTTGGCTGAGGCCCAACAGACGGACCCTCTGGTCACTTTTAACTGGTCTTTTTTAGAAACAAAATTGAACAAAGAACAGGGATATTGGTTGATATTTACATTTAAAAGAAAAAGGCATTAAATTAATTTAGGAGGAAGTGATAAATGTCAGAAAGATTTAGATACATAACCTGCACCTGCTGTTTGGTAAATCCGTACAAAATACCAGAGTAAAACTGACACGTAACGGCCAATGCTACTTGTTTACTCAAAATGTCGACCGTTTTGGCAATCAAACCGGCCCAGATGTGAAGTGGAGGAACATGCAGGCTTTCTGTCCTGCAGGTCATACCGAGGTTGATCTCAACAGGACATTTCTATAAGGTTGCCTCATCCTACAGTCAATCCCTAAGTGTGTGCAAGGTAGTGATTCATTCATTCTGGGGCCTTTCTCCAAAACTGCATTTTTTCTCCTGTTCTTTTTAAAAAATCATAAAGGGCCAATAATTATCGGAAAGCATAGGAAAGCAGAATTCCAGGACTTCTTTGTAAGTGGCGAGTTACAAAAAGAAAACAGTCTGAGCTAAAAAAAAAAAAATAAGTAAACAGTCTTTATTTAGCTCTATTCATTACTACTCTGCAGAATGAGCTTTGACCATTATTGAACTCTTTCCAAATGGAGAGCAGACTTGTTTTTCTGACTGGGCCCCCCCTCACTAGTATGTAGATGTGTGAACATGAGACTGTGGTCTAGCCGGTGTCTGACTAATGCTTCCCTTTACTGGGCATTTATTCCACTTTAATCAGCTCTACAGCCCTGCCGCACGTTGTTCAACACGTGCGACCAGACGCCTACGCTCCCACCCAGCAGCCCCCCACGCCCCACCTTACAAAACAGGGCAAGTATGAATGATAATCGCGCCACAGAAAAGCAGGAGAACACCAAGGCTCTTTCAAATGACTTTTACATCTGCCCCACCCCACTCTCTGCTTCACTGGCCCCACTGGCTGACTGTACTGAGGAGGTGTGTGTGTTGGTTGTGTGTGTGTGTGTGTGTGTGTGTGTGTGTGTGTGTGTGTGTGTGTGTGTGTGTGTGTGTGTGTGTGTGTGTCTGTCTGTGTGTGTGTGTGCTATGCATCTGGAATATCTGTTAGTGATTCTTCTGCTCCTATCACAGCAATGAAAAGGCGAATAATCCTTACTGTTGGAAGACACACAAATACACACAGATTCTTTTAAAATGGGTTTACTTTTATTGTAAAGAAATCAATAAATGTCAAATGTCATTATTGAACTGACCTGGTTAGCTGGACTTGACTAAAGCATGACGGGCTATGCTGGAAATATTGAAAATAGACATATCCATTTCCAATTCCAGTTGTTATGCTAAGATATAACTTTAAAACGTTTTAACTATTTCAAACTATACTTTCTAACCATTCCTTCAGGTTGAGTTTGTAGGTTGTGTAGACCAAATTGAGGACTGGGACTTTAATTGATGATACTCCAATTCATTCTATGTGTATTGCATTATAGTTAGATGTATCTCCATTGTATTGAAGTGACTGATGGGCACCCTTTCTGTATGTTTGAATAGCTCAAATTGTTCAATAAAACGTTTGTTTTGATGCATAAAGGCACTGTGAATACAAAATGTTTAACATTACTGAGTCTGAAAGGTATGATCATTTTAAAAAGGCAGGAAAGAATAGAAAAAGCCCAAACTTCGAGCACTCGGCAGCCCAAAAGGGAGTTGAGGCCCCAGTCAGAGGCCAGCTGCTGAACATGTGGTGGTTATGTCAGCTATCCTATCCGCAGGAGAGAAACCTCCGCATCAACCTTTTCTCCCCTCGAACCCTCTCCTCCTCACAAGCCTCTTACATACATTATGCTGGAGGCGAATCCAACTCTAGCTCGGGTTCCCTTTTGTTATACATAAGCGGACTTGAGGAATTTGCGTAAGCAGATACAGTCATGCCTGATGGAGAGGAGCAACCTTTGCCTGCTTAGAAGTGCAAGGAATCAAAAGGCTTCTAAACGCAGCGTTGTGTTATTACAACTGGATTCAGACATCTTTGTGTTGATTCTGGATGTAAGGGTTTGGTTGGAGTGAACACACTAAGTGGTGTGGTTTGCAACTGCAGCTGCTTTTGGTGCGGATTCCTTCTCTTCGGGAAAAAGATGAACTCATCTGTAATCTGTTTATAATGATGTGCCAGTTTCTGTAAGCAGTAGAGTGTGATTTATCTATCAGAACATTGACTTTGTGAACAATCAAAAAGGCAAGAACAAGAGTGATAATGGTATTGTCTCTTCTGCAGCAGACAAAGTATTATGCAACACTATCAGAGCAATGCAGACTTTAGTAAAGCACAGACCAAAGAACATCCTAAAATAACTCTGATAACATGAGCCTCTAATTATCCCTAAATGACACATCACCCTCTCTCATAAACATCTAACACTCGAAGACTGACATTTCAGGCATCCTCTCATAAAGGAGATATATTTAGCAATGATCCTGTGGACAATGAAGACGTGCAGAGAGACATTCACACGTAACAGCAACCGAATAAGGCAAAGTCTGCGGGGAAATCCCTACTAACAAGGCTTCCTGCCATATGAGTGTTTGCTTCTGGGGACTGAAAGACCAAACACATGCTAATAAATAAAGCAACTATAGGCCCGGTAAGACAGACATGTAACAAAAGATTGCTATTGCAATGAAGATTGTTCATGTTACATTTTTTTAACATTGATAATGACAATGAGTCAGTCAGCCAGGACTGATTGTTCTGTTGTTGTGGAAGGATTGTTCCATAACTAAATCGGTAGCAGACGGTGTTAGAGACTAAGGGAAGGGTATCAGTATTTAGTATTGGTAAGGAAATAAGTTATTTAGGAACATAGTAATAGAAGAAATTCTCCAGTCGTATGATACCTGCATGTGAGCCTCTTTGCGCCCAGAACGAAAAAGAAAAGTCTATTTGATTGGTTTTACTTGCAGCCAATCACGGCAAGCATTCTTTATTTGAATGCAACGTGATTGGTCCACTACCGCGGCGTGGTGAAGTGGGATGCGGTAAAAATTCCTTTTTTAAATAATTGAACACAATAATGTATTTATGTTCAAAATGTACAAACATGGTATTCAAAAGTAGCACACTATTGGTATCGATATCACATAGAGGATATACTGGTATTGTATTAGAGACTTGTACTTGTAGAGTAACTTAAATGATATGAAGCCCTTTAAAAGATGGACATTACATGACAGATTGGAAGGTAAGACATAATGACCACTCTGAAAAGAGCTTGGGCCAACCCAGAAAAACTTTCTAGGATTAGTTTTCAACAAAACTTGCAATTTACTTGATATTTGTATATTATTATGCCCTAATATTAAGTCTGCTAACAAGGTAGCATGTTTTCCATCTCAATGTGCCGGTGGAAGCTGCTGTTTTCTTTAATGACAGACTGATGTTTTCAGTGGACTACTACTATTAACTTACCAGAGTTAGCTGCTACAGTCTTATCTTCACATATCCCCATAAACTTAAACATGATGTATCTCTCACAAAAACAAGATAATTGCTGTTTGAAATAAACTTTGTGACCTGACTTACCCTGACTTACAGAACTGAAAATACCCACTTGAAGAAATTACTGGTTATGCAAGGATGTAAATCATGAACAGACACATAACTGACACTAAACGTTAAGAGGAAACAGACATTGGCCTGGTACGCTGCACTCATCACATTTCAATAAAGATCTATCATCTTGAAAGTTGTAAAGCCCGTCCAGCAGAAATACCAGTTGCTTCAACCATTCAACATTGACCTCTACTTGGACTGGACTCGGTTAGGGTGTTAACTTTCCAGAAAAAGCACAGAATGTCAATTCATGCTGTGAATAAACAGATGAAGGAACAGCGCTGCCCATTGCTGACGTCAGCACATGCATGGTCAAAGAGGTGTAGCTACACCTTTTCCCATTCCTCTCCCCTGCGACTTGAAAGGCTACTGCCAGACCAAGGAAATATTTACAGGGTGGGGGACTGCACTAGAGCAACACCCAAGAGACCCTAAATACACATTACATTACATTACATTGCATTTAGCTGACGCTTTTATCCAAAGATAAATAGGGAACAAGAGGGTGCTGCGGACATACACGACCAGTAAAAAGTAGTCGGTAATTAATTAATTACATTTCCTTCATTCCAGTGACTCAAATATGCATGAGTAAGATACTGTCTGAGCTATTTCAGAAACAACCATCAGGTGTGTTGCCTTTACTGAACGCAGTACAAATCACAATCACTGTTCAGGGTTGTTTTAGAGGGTCTGGTGACACGGACAAATCTCCCACCCGACTTCTGGTATGAATAAACAAAACACTGGTATGAATTAAGTCATAAAGTGTTAAAGCATTGACTGTTTATCAGAGTGGTCAAATACATTTTGCTCTATCTCTATGTGTTTTTTTAAAACAGGGAACCCCTTTATGGAAATGTATTTTAATAACATGTTCTCAGACAACATAATAATATATCATCTTCTCTACCTCCCTTTCTCCTGTCATGAGTACAAACCCACACTGACTTTCCATCCGGTGCAGAGGCGCTCCTGCAGCCAGACAGGATGGTCTTCCCCCCTCTATGAGTCATCGCCTAAATCTCCCAGGCTGCAGAGTGGGGGTCTGGTGTGGGCTGGGAGAGACTAATGGGAGCCTGGCAAAGTCATCAGTGCAAATGGTCCAGTGGACAGCTAGGCATTTTATGCAGAGTTGCGAAATAATTCATTGGCTCCATGTCAGGGCAGATAGGATAACGTAATGGAAGAACAGTTCTCTCATTATGTACCAACACGCTGATTGAGGGCCAATTAGGCCATTATTTTGATTACTAGTCGTAACCATTTAATGATACAGATTGGAAAACCCTTTTGCCGGTTGCAACAGCTGTTTGTAAGTTCTTATTAACTTTGTTATTATGTGAGTTTGAACTAAATGGAGATGTATGCAGCACTTAATGAACACGGGTTGTAAACATACTACTTTTGACAAAGAGATTAATTGTCGCAGAACAATTATGCCTACAAACGTCCAGTTGATGTGTAAGAATAAAAGAGGAAATGATCGATATATCTGACCATACACTTGATTAAATGCTGTTAATTAAAAAACAGATTTGTTTTAATTGCATTTCAACAAACAAAAACAATTGTCTAGAACTGTTAGACAATATGATCAGATAAAGCTGTTTAGGTTATTGTATTTCCAGAGTCTTAAACTATTAAGTTATTGTAGTTCTTTATGGGAAAAATTTGGATTTGTCTCCTGATCTCGTTTACCTTAACTTTTAAGCTAGCTAGTCCATATTAAGAATTAAGGAGGAGGACAAATAGCTGATGCAGCCGACACAACAAGTTTTTGTTATTTTGTTTGGGACATAAACCACAGGTTTAGTGGTAACCCACAGATATCTCAAGACTGTGGTGAAATATTGCTTCTCCAAATATCTTCAGACAGACAGACAGACAGACAGACATTAAACTCAATCCACTGATCTGTCTGACTCATACTGGAAAGTTGGAAAGATTTGAAAAAAGATACTTTGAGCTGCCAGGAGCCATGATAAGTTCTGTCTTTCATCCTAAACCTATCCTCTGTTCCTCTTTTTTAATTTTGTTATTGTTCTGCTGAACATCTGTTCTGGTTGCATGTGTGCACTGGCGATTAAGAGATCCCACCCTGATGTTTTCATTTGCGTGAGTTTACTTGGACGTATCTAATTACTGAAAGTACCTCCTCGCTGTTGGCCTTGTTCCGAATGAACTTGAAGCCTGGAATGCGCTTCTGGTTGCACATCACTCCGACATCTTCCGAGTGTTTGCAGTCCGACACACCGATGCCGTTGGAGTGACACTGAGCCAGGCTCTTCTCTCCACCGGTGCAGTGCAAGTTGTCTAACCAGATCCGGCCTGGAGGGAGAGAGGCAAATATTTAAAGGTCTCCTATCATGCTATTTTTAGGCATAAGTTATGGGTCTCAGATATATCAAAAATATATAAAAAACATGTCTATGATGTGTTTTGCTTAAAATACCAAACAGATCATGCATTTTTGACATCCCTCATATCCCTCTATTTCAGGCCTGTTAGAGAACGGCAGGTTCGGGGTCCTTGGCTTGAAGAAAAAGAAGAGGAGGTGGAGCTAATGCCTGTTCAGAATTCTACGAGATACTCAGCTAAATGCTGCCGTGATTAAATGCCATATCATACTCCAAACCACATCAAAGATAATTTCTGAAACAATATGGAGCTCAAATGCTTTTTCTTTTGCGGGTTTACCACAAGGTGAGTTCCTTTTTTAATTCTTGCTTTTTTACACATACTCTCTCCAGCACAGGTTAGCTCTGAGTGTTAGCGATGCTTGCTAATGTAAACCAAGACCATATTACGTCCAAAACACGTCGGGCAGTGTTTCTGATAGTGACGTTTCTGATAGTGCCGTGGGTCCAC